CCATTGTAACTGGCGTGAGATGGTATCTCATTGTGGTTTTGATTTGCATTTCTCTAATGGCCAGTGATGATGAGCTTTTTTTCATATGTTTGTTGGCTGCATAAATGTATTGATGGTGAGAAGTTTTTAGTGTGTCCAGCATTGCCCAAGAGAGGGAGGTTTCAGATTTGGGGCATGAATATTTTAGTTGAATTTGCTGATGTAATCTTATCTTGAAAAGGGCCAAGTGAGTTTGCTGCTACAGTTTAATAGTAATATTCCGTTAAGATCATCTGACTATCTTAGCTCAGATTCTGTGATCACCAACTTATCAACGGACTTCATAGTACTCTGATAGTGGGAATGGGGGTCCTACCTCACAGACATAAGGGTCCGATCAGCATGGCATATATAATTCTTTAGATAATACATAAATTATCATCCAGATTATAGATCATTCTTTTATGAATCACAGGATCTCAATGTTGGAGTATATCTAAGGGACATTTAGTTAACCATCCACCTGGTGCTGATATTCCCCTTATAAAAAGCTGACAAGGGGTTGTCCATTTTTCCTTGAGAGTCTCAAGTAATAGGAAACACATTACTTCTTTACTTCTCTGAACACCTGTGTTGGAAAATTCTGCTTTATATTGAAAAAAAAAGTGTTACTTTATTTGTATTTTTATTTTTTGACACAGAGTCTTGTTCTGTTGCCCAGGCTGGAGTGCAGTGGCATGACCTTGGCTCACCACAACCCCTGCCTCCTGGGTTCAAGTGATTCAAGTGCCTCAGCCTCCTGAGTAGCTGGGACTACAGGCATGCACCACCATGCCAGGCTAATTTTTGTATTTTAGGTAGAGATGGGGTTTTGCCATGTTGGCCAGGCTGTTCTCAAACTGCTGACCCTGGTGATCCGCCCACCTCGGCCTCCCAAAGTGCTGGGATTATAGGCGTGAGCCACCGTGCCCAACCAAAAGTGTGTTACTTTAGAGCCCCCATTCCTTGGTTGACTCCTTGGGTCACATACAAAAAAATCTAAATCTTCTAAAAAAAAAATGTAAATAAACTCATGTCCCCGATAAACCTTTTCCAGGCCAAATTCCCTACACTCTTTAAATCCTTCTAATATAGGATGCTTTCAAATCATTACATCAACCTGGTCACCCTTCCATGGACAGGCTTTAGTTTCTCTTTTAATATGTGGTCTTGGGCATGGGCAAGTATTTTTGTAAAATTTACAAATGTAAAATATTTTCATTGCTAGTGATTGACTGTCTCTTACCACTCCAACTTCCCTCTGTCACACTTCCCCTCAGGTCAAGTGATGCTGGACTGGCCATGAGCATTTCTGGAATACAGATAAGAAGTTATTGTTTTGGTGGTATATTTAGTTTGGATTTAGGAGAATATATATTATGTGGTTCACTGCCACTTCTATATCTAGTTAACTGATCGATAGCTGCCTTAGTGTAGAAATGGCTTCCAGGAAAACTCCTACTATGCACTGTGCCAATTTCACCTGGCATTATGATACTAAATTGCAGGTGTGTTTGGCAGCTAATGAAAATGTTATTTTTATGGGTTTGGTGATGTTGAAGAGATTTTTCAGCTTTTTATAATAAATATAAAATGTACTATGCATTGAGCTATACTCCTTATAATGGGAACATTTCATGGCATATAAATTATACCTCAATAAATCTGTTTAAAATGTGCTGTGATTTCTTTTCTATTTTAAATAAATATTTGCTTTTGTGCCTAAAGTAAAGTAAAATAAAAATATGTAGCAGGATATCTACAAAACCTGTACAAAACATCCCCTTGGTATGGAAGAGTGAAATGGAAGCATCCCCTCTGAGATTGGGAATTAGGCAAGGGGATCACTACTTCTACCTTTGTGCAACATTGTACTAGAAGTTCTAGTAAGTGCAGTAAGCAAAGAAAAAGAAATAAAAGTTATAAAAATTAGAAAAAAGAAGGTTGGGCACGGTGGCTCACGCCTGTGATCACCGCATTTTGGGAGGTCAAGGCGGGCGGATCACCTGAGGTCAGGCGTTTGAGACCTGCCTGGCCAACATGGTAAAACCCCGTCTCTACTAAAAATACAAAAATTAGCCGAGCATGGTGGCAGGCGCCTGTAGTTCCAGCTACTCGGGAGGCTGAGGCAGGAGAATCGCTTGAACCCAGGAGGCAGAGGTTGCAGTGAGCTGTTGCAGTGAGCTATTGCACTCCAGCCTGGGCAACAAGAGGGAAACTCCATCTCAAAAAAAAAAGATAGAATTAGAAAAAAGAAATAAAACTGTGTTTAGAGCAAAAAATGTGACCATGTTTATAGATAATCTAAGACAAAATACAGAAATATTATTACAATTAATAAGTGAGTTCAGCAATGTTGCTGGATATAAAAATCAATATGTAAAAACAAATTGTCTCTTTAACAGCCATCATTAAAAATTAAAATAAAAATATATAATTTACGACCTCATGAAAACATATAAAGTTCTTAGAAGTGAATATAACAAAGGAGATGCAAGAATTTGATTATAAAATTTACATGAAAATGAAAAGGCCAAGAATAAAAACAAAACACAGAACCCACCCCCCCCAAAACAAAGAAACAAACAAGCAAAAAGCCAAGAATAGCCAAAGCACTCTTAAAGAACAAGGTGGGAGAACTTGTCTTATCAGATGTCAAGACTTAGTAATTAAGGCAGTGGCATGTAAGAACTAAATGGAGAGCTCCGAAACAAACTCGTGTATAAAGACATTTCATATATAATAGAACTGACATTTTAGATCAGCGAAGAAAGTATGTTTTTGAAAGTACTTTTCAAAAATGGTCGGGCGAGGTGGCTCATGCCTGTAATCCCAGCACTTTGGGAGGCCCACGTGGGTGGATCACATGAGGCCAGGAGGTCAAGACCAGCCTAGCCAACATAGCAAAAACCTGTCTCCACTAAAGATACAAAAATTAGCTGGGCATGATGGTGCTTGCCTGTAATCCCAGCTACTCGGGTGGCTAAGTCATGAGAATCACTTGAACCCAGGAGGCAAAGGTTGCAGTGAACAGAGATCATACAACTGTACTCCAGCCTGGGTGACAGAGCAAGACCCTGTCTCAAAAAAAAAAAAAGTACTTTTCAAAAATGATGCTGGAGCAATTCGTTTTCCATATTTAAAAGTCGTAAATTGGATACTATAAGTAAAAATCAGCTCCAGGTGGATTCAAAACATAAATGTAAAATGCAAAAATATAAAATTTCTGGAAGAAAATATAAAAGAGTGTCTTGATATCTGGATAGTGGTGGATTTCTAAAGCAAGACATAAAATGCATAAATCATAAAAGAAATGACTGGTAATCAGAGTGCATTAAAATTAAGAACTTTCATTTATCAGAAAACACTATTAAGAGAGTGAAAAGATAAGCCATAAACATAACCAATAAAAGATTAGTATAAGATTATAAACAGAACCCTAAGAATCTATAAGCAAAAGAAAAATAAACCAATAGAAAGATAGGCCATAAGGTAGAATAGGCTCAGAATAGGCTCTTTTAAAAAGAGAAAACTCAAATGGCCAGCAGTTGAATTAAAAGATGCTCAAACTCATTAGTAATCAGGGAAATGCAAATTAAAATCATAATAAAATAGTATTCCACACTTACTTGAATCATAAAAACAAAAAAGTCTGGAAAATACTGAGGGTTGGTAAGCATGTGGCGGAAGTAGAACTCTCATTCATAACTCTCTGTAGTATACATTTAGGTGGTCACTTTGGAACGAGCTTAGAATTACATAGCAAAGTAGAATATGTGCAAATCTCAGGACCCAGGAATTTCACTTCTGGGTATATACCTTAGAGAAACTGTAGCATATGTGTGACATTTGATCAACATTGTTCTGTCATCATATCTATCAGTAGTGGGATGAATGAATACATTAATGTATATTCATTCATGCAATGGCATATTAGATAGCAGTGTAAATGAACTGTAATTACATGTATATGTATGAATCTCAAAAACCCAATGTTGAAAGAAGCAAACCACAGAAGCATACATACACACTGCCAGGTTTCATTTACAAAAAGTTCAAAAACAGGAAAAACTAAACAATATATTGTTTAGGGATGCAACTATAGTTAGTAAAAATATAAAGAAAAATAACAGAATGATTACCCCAAATTTCAGGATAGTAATTACATCTGGTGGTAGAGGAGGGGAAGAAGATAGATGTGATCGGGGAGAGAAACACAAAGAGCTTTAAGATACTGGAGAAAAATAGTCTATTTTCTTTAATCTGAGTAGTGAACAGATAGATATTTGTTCTTTAAAATTATTCTTCAAGTTACATATATATGTTGTATACACTCTTCTGTGTATATTTTACCATTTTAGAAAAGGAAAAAAAATCAGTGCCCAGAGCTGAACATACAACTCTAGTTAATCTGCCCAGAGCTGAACATACAACTCTAGTTAATCTATCATACTCGAAGACAATCATCTCCATTCTTTTGAGTGCTCTGCCCTTGTTTATTTTGAACCAAAGAGTACATTTATACTTGTTAAATTTTCTCTTATTCTGTTTGGCCCTTCTTTTCACTTGTCCTTCCAGCCAGTCAAGCTCTCCCCAAAGCCATCATCATATATGTCAAGCATGGGTCATCCTCCAGGGCAACTGGTATACTAAAGTTTCTGAGCCAGCCAGGCTGAAATCCAAATGTCAGCCGGCAGACGTGGCAACACTTTGAAAAGTCCACCTTGAAACAGCTTCCTTACCACACGCGCTTCCCTCCCTACTTCTCCTGAAGTAATCTGTTTATGGACCCAGACTAATTATCTTTTTTATGAGAAACTTTAGCAAATCTTTTATCTAGGAAGGCAATGCTTCACATTAGGTTATGTTGATAAGGTGATGAGAGAGAATATTTCATCAAAGAATACTGCTATTTCCTGAAGGGGTAAAAACCCCACAGGGAAAACCCCTGTGATTCTCATAGGTAGGGCTGGTCTATCTAAGCTGATAGCACAGTTTCGTCCAGAGAAGGGAGGCAGAATAAACTTATTCATTCCCGGGGACTCTTGGGGTAGGTGTGCGTTTTTCACATCTTGAAGACTCACAGACCCTGAGCTGGATAAATGTCTCATTCCTGAAGGACCTCTCCAGAATCCGGATTGCTGAATCTTCCCTGCTGCCTAGAGGGGCTCCAAACCACCTCTTGACAATGGGAAACTGGGTGGTTAACCACTGGTTTTCAGTTTTGTTTCTGGTAAGTGATGTTTGACTTCCTATTAATCAGGAAGAATTAAGGAGAAATCATGTTTGTTAATATTTGTAAAATAATTTGAAAGGGAAAGATTCCATGCCAATTATTGGGTTCCTCAGGACCAGTTAGTTAAAAAATACAACTCTGGGTCAGATGAGAGGACAGAGGCAAATAGCATGCAATTGTTCATGTTGTCAAATCACAAGTATTTGGAATTTCAATCTGTTTTCATTTTCTGTCGTCTCCCTTTCTCTTCCATCTCACTTCTAACTACTACCATGAGTGCTGATTTCTCTCTATCTTTCCTATACTGGTCCCGTCAAGATTTCAAAAAGTCGCTGAATGTTTGAGATGAAAGTGATCTTAGAGATCATCTGGCCCAGCACTACCCACTAGAAATATAGTAAACCACATAATGTATTTCCTAAATTTTCTAATACCTGCACTGAAAATGTAAAAATAAACAGGTGAAGTTAATATTTAACAATATAACTCATTTAACCCAACATATCAACAGATCCTTTCAGTATGTATTCAATATTGAAAATATTAATAAGATAATTTACATATTTTTATTTTTACTGAGTCTTTCAAATCTGATATGTATACCACAGCACAACTCAGCGAAGACTAGCCACATTTCAAGTGCTCAGCAGCCCCATGTGGGTAGTGGCTGTGGCATTGCATAGTGCAGATGTAAACCAACTTATTGATTGTACAAAGGAAAATAAGACCTAGATGTCACACAATGAATTGACTGAAGAGGCATCACTCGAACCCAGCTCCCCAGTGACGTTCAGGCCAGAACCCCTTTACCACCCTATGTATGCACAATCCCTTTCTCCTAACACTCAAACACCTCTCTCTACTCTCATTCTTCCATTTCTGAGCCACAAGTGAGCCTGGGGCTCCCTGTGTCCTTTCTCACTTTCCTAGATCTTCATTCATTACTCTTTCTCTTTTCTCCTATTTTGCTTTTGGGTCCCACAGGCGAAACAGGAGAAAAGAGAAGATGCGATGCTTCTTTTTTCTCCTGTCCACCCCCTCGCTCCCCCACCAGGTGCTCCAGGGAAAAATATGTGAGTTTTCCTGGAGGGTTGTTTGTTTTACATTTAACAAAAGTGCTTATTTTGTCAGGTTATCCCATGACATATTTTAAATGCTCAATGCCTTATATTGAGTTCTTTTGCACAATAATGGAAAAAACACTAGTTTAGGAGAAAGAGAACCTGGCAAGTACTTTGAATTCTGCTACTAACTGGGTGACCTTGATCAAATTATTTATCCTCTCTAGACTTCAGGTCCTGTACGTGTATGTGGGGGGGACTGGGCAGGGGAGGGGAGCAGGGGATTAATAAAGTGACTAGATTAGATAGAAATATAAGGGTGTTTCTAGCTCTAAAATCCACATTTACCTGCATTTTTCCCCTCTTATTTTTTGCTGGGAGAGGTTACCAGCTATGATGGTGACTCACATTTAACTCTCTAGCTTTGAATTTCCATCCCCCACCAAACCAGCTGGCAAGCTTAGACTTCTCATTATCTCTGATATATACTCCTATGCACTGATTTTTAAATAAAAAATAAATTACTTAAAAATAGTTTTATTCCTCCTTCCTCCCAGGTCTTGTAGTTTACCTACTTTGTCGTTCATAGTGGAGGAAATGACAGCTAAGATGGGGAATGAAATTCATTACTCCTAGCTATCACTGTATTTCATCATTTGCCTTGCCTACAATTGATGATGGGCTGACACAGAGTTATTTGCCCCTGTGTCTCTTTGTGATCCAGAAATATTTCTGTTCCCTCTAAATAAACTTCTCTCCTCTGTCTTCCAAATTCTGGAGGTATCTGTGACTGTTGACTTTCTCTTCTTTCAAAGACGTTTCTCTGGAAGACACTCAGCTCTGGAAAAGGGTATCTGAGCAAAGGAGGCAGGAAGAAATTGATTGGTAAAGGAGGTTCGGTGGTGACACAACTCTGTAGCTAGCACTTATTGATCTCTTACTAAGCCCCAAGCATTGCATTAATCACTTTACACGCATTATCTGACGTTAGCCTCATAGCACTACTATAAAGTAGGTCCTGTTATTATCCTCATTTTACAGGTGAAGAAATTGAGGCTTAGAAAAGTTAAATCACATGTCTGTCTGAGATTACAGAGCTATTAATTGGTGATGCTACAACTTGACTCCAATATCACACTTTAAATCACTATATTATAGTACTAAAGGTGTGTGAGTGGTCTAGATCTAGGGATTCTGAATAGGCCATGTCCTAGGCTAAAGGTCCTTTGCCTGTTGTGCTGAGATGGTTCTGACTCACACTGGGTCAAGGGATATATACTAGCGCCCTGGAGACCTGTCGAATTACAGACTGTCAAATCACCTTCACACTTGAGCTAGAGACCAGTTGGTTGATCCTCAAGGCAATGGGCAGTGAGTTCCAAATTTCACGTTTAGCCAGTGCAGAGACAGAACTTGGGACAAGCAAAAGCAGTCTTAAGAGCTCAAATGAGTCCAAAGGAAAAATAGATTAATTTGAAAAAAGACTCACAATCTGAAAACAGGAAAATGTATGTCAGGGTGTAATTAAAAAGGCAGGCCCATCTGGAATGGTTTAGTTCTTTTCAGATAGGTATTGTTATAGATGCTAAATTTGTTCTTTGTTTCTTCAGATATCCATTTATTCACTTATTGCCATCTTTTAGGTGCAACAGTTTGAATGCTGTAGTCCAAGAATGGGCAAATGTTTCTGTAAAAAGCTAGATAGTACATATTTTAGGCTTTGCAAGCCATATGGTCTCTGTCCCAACTACTCTACTCCGTCATTGTATCACAAAAACAGCCATAAACAATACAGAAATGAGTAGCAGTGGCTAAGTTTCAATACCACTTTATTTATGGTCACTGAAATCTGAATTTTATATAACTTTCACATGCCACAAAATATTCTTCTTTTGATTTTCTCAACCATTAGCAAATTTGAAAATATAAAATATAAAAAACCATTCTGAGCTTGCAGGCTGTGGCAAAACAGGTCATGGGCCATGGACCTCAGTTTGCTGACCATGCTCTGGTCTAATGCATGTCTCAAAGTGCTGACTCACTCTGAAAGCCAGTTAGATACTGGCAGGATTGTACTCATTTAAGATGAAAACAGGTAAACACAAAATAGCCAAAATGGCGACACTCTTCCTATCCCTATCCTTTATTTACTCCTTCCCATACTCAAATTTCACGTTATTCCTTGAATGTTTTTTTTTTCTTCCTGTAGGCTGTTTGGTTGGGGCTGAATGTTTTCCTGTTTGTGGATGCCTTCCTGAAATATGAGACGGCCGACAGATACTACTACACAAGAAAAATCCTTGGGGTGAGTATCACGGTTGTGATGGAGGAATCCTATTTTTTTCCTTATCTCTGATTCTGGCTTCTTTGTGACCCAATGCCCTGATATCCTCTACGGCTAGGGTTGCCAGAAAAAGTACAGAATGCCCAACTGACTTTGAGTTTCAGATAAATGACAAATTATTTTTTGATATAAGTATGCTCCAAATATTGTATGGAACACAGGTATATGAAAATATTTATTTTTAAAAATTTGAAGTTAAAATTTAGCTTAGCATCCTGTATTTTTATTTAATAAATCTGATAACCCCATCTAGGGCACACTACCCAGACCCAATAAAGGAAACATGCCATAAAGAAAACTATTAGGCAGTGGTTTTCAAACTGGTTTCCAGAAACTCGGGTGTTCCTACAGGGTATGAGGGGAAGGCTAACTGGGCAGTGCTCCTGCTCCTGCCCCTGTTTCAACCAAAGCAGCCTATATCTATCTATGAACACCTGCTTACAATTTTAAGGAAGTGTTTGGTTTTTTTTTAAAAAAAGGAAAGTAAAAAAGAAAAAACAAACACAACTTGAAAACACTGCTGTCATGGAAACATACCTCTCTATCAAATAAGAGGGATACTTAGGGGAGTCTCATGGGTGCTACAGAATTCAAGGCCAGCAGAAAGGAGGGCTCAGGTCAAGGTTACACAACAGAGAAGCTTGGGGAAGCAGCAGATCAAAAACAGAAGAGGGAGGGAGTGGGTAGGGCACATGGGTGTGGAGGTGACCAGGAGGAAGCGTGGAGTTGAGGATGGTTCTCTCACAGGCTGATGAACCCGGACACTGCCTGGTTAGAAAAGCATATTTGACTGCTACCTCTAGTCTATTATGCAATAACAGAGGATTTTAAAATCACTTTCATCTTGACAGTGTCTTTTTTTTTTCTTAGTAGCTTTCAGTATCCTCCCAATGTACATGTTTAAAGACAGCTTGTCCTTTTAAAAAATGCTTTTTTCTCTCTCCATAATCAAAGAATCCATGTTGAGATCACAACTAATTTGAATGTTCTGTTCATGGTTTATTTCACCCTGCTGTTTTCCATTTTAAATGTTCATCCTTGATCCTTCTTTAGAAAATAACTCCAAAGGAGGTATTAATTTGCTTTAAAAATAACTTTTTACTAAGAGAATGATGCAATAAATGTGACTAGTTATTAACAGCTTGATTACTGCATGACCAAAATGTCAGCAGCAGAAAAATAAATTATGCTGATGTCCCTTGGACATTTTGTTTTTTAAAAATTATTTAAAAATTGTTTATATATGTAGGGGGTATAACTGCAGGTCTCTTTCTTTCCTTCTTTCTTTTTTCTCTTTCTTCCTTTCTTCTTCCTTCCTTTTCTTTCTCTCTCTCTTTCTTTCCTTCTTTTCTTCCTTCCTTCTTTCCTTCCTTCTTTCTCTTTCTTTCCTTCTTTCTTTCTTTCTTTCTTTTCTTTCCCTCCCTTCCTTCCTTCTTTCCTTCCTTCCTTCCTTCCTTCCTTCCTTCCTTCCTTCCTTCCTTCCTTCCTTCCTTCCTTCTTTCCTTCTTTGTTTTCATTCTCTTTATTTTGAGACAGGGTCTTTCTCTGTTACCCAGGCTGGCATGCAGTGGCATGATCATGGCTCACTGCAGCCTCGACTCTCCCAGGCTTCAGCTATCTTCCCACCTCAGCCTCCTGGGACCACAGATGTGCACCACCAAGCCTGGCTAATTAAAAAAAATTTTTTTTGTAGTCTCCCTGTGTTGCTCAGGCTAGTCTCAAAACTCCTGGGCTCAAGTAAAATTCCCACCTTGGCATCCCAAAGGCCGGGTATTACAGGTGTGAGCCACCTTGCCCAGCCACAAGTGCAGGTTTCTTACATGCATATATTGCATAGTGATGAAGTCTGGATTTTTAGTTACCTATCACCTGAATAGTGAACATTGTACCCAGTGGGTCATTTTTCAACCCTCACTCCCCTCCCACCCTCCCACCTTTTGTAGTCTCCAATGTCCATTATTCTACTCCGTAGGACATTTCATTTTTAAGGCCCTATTTTAAAAAATTAATTATCAATAATGCTGCTTGCAATGAGATCAAACCATATATTAGGTTGGTGCAAAAGTTATTGTGATTTTTGCTATTAAAACTGTTTGCAAAAACAGCAATTACTTTTGCACCAACCTAATAGAAGGGTATAAGTAAAATGTGAAAATCTCCCTCCCACCCCACTCCCCGGAGATACACACACACAAACACACACACAAAGAGACATGCACACACACTGACATAAGCTCACAAATGTATCAGACACATAGGATTTGTTTTTGAGGTAAGTACTATTGTTTATTCACGTTTTCATTTTCATATAGTCAAATTTGCTGTTTTTTGGTGTACAGTTCTATGAGTTTGGGTAAACACATACAATAGGACACACAGTTTTTTTGTTTTAACCGAAAAAGGGATCACTTTGTAGATATTGGCTGGAAATTGCTTATGTTAATATATCTCACATATATCTTTTTTCTTTTTTTGAGACGGAGTCTCACTCTTTCGCCCAGCCTGGAGTGCAGTGACGCCACCTCCTGGGATCAAGCAATTTTCCTGCCTCAGCCTCCCGAGTAGCTGGAATTACATGTACGCACCACCATGCCTGGCTAATTTTTTGTATTTTTAGTAGAGATGGGGTTTCACCATGTTGGCCGGGCTGGTCTCAAACCCCTGACCTCAAGTGATCCACCAGCCTTGGTCTCCCAAAGTGCTAGAATTACAGGCATAAGCCACTGCACCCAGCCTCAGATATCTTTCCATGTGAGTGCCTAACCAGTGGTGTGCTGAAACCAGCTCATATCAGGTTGCAATGCCAGTTGTGTGCATCTCTTCCCAACTCTACATTCAGTGGTGTTCAATGACATCAAGTTAGTGTCTTGAAATCCGCCATGGTAGGAGTATTTACATCATCAAAATTGGCAAATGCTAGAAATCAGGAATCCCCCTCTCCCCAAAAAGCTAGTCATTAAAATATTTACCATCACTGCATCACTGCATAGAGCTCTCAGCCTTTTAAGAGAATAACAATTAATTACATTGGTATACCATAATTTATTTAAACATTTCACAGGTTATTTCTTCAACTCATGCTCTCCTTGGGAAAATATAGAGAGCAGTTTGATTCACTATGAAGTAGAGCAGATAAGCAGCAGAGGAAGAAGTTTAAATCCATAGTCAATGATGCATTAATGGCAGCAGGAGTTCAAATATAACACCAGTGAGTGGGGATCTAGAGAAATGAACATACATTGGCATATTTAAATGTGCTGCAATGAGGAAAAAATGTTTTCTCTAAAAAGAATTCATCCTATACAGATAGCCACCACAGAATATGGAACTGTGAAATTATAGTCCTATATTTTCAATTCACTTGCCAATTTTAGCTTTAAGAAATCTCTGTGATTCAAATAAGCAAGTAGTGGGAACCAATGTGGAAATGCAGGATCTCTGAGATGAGCAGAGGAAATTTACTCAGAAATGGAACAGGCTGTACCGAAAACAGTCGGAGCGTGACTCAGCAGAGGGAGAAAACACAGGTCATGTGGAAAAGCCAGAAATGGAAAACAGTAGGGCAGCTTTTGTTCACCACACTGCCTGACATTCTTAGCCATTATGGATACTAGACAGGTCTTGTCCTGGTGTATTAAACTGATATCACATGTTCCTGGGTTTACGATGTAAGGAAAAATCAATTTTGTGCTTCATAGATAATTAGAAAAAGGCCAAGAAATTGTTAACCTTAACCCATACCCTTCCTTTTAGAAAGTCTTTGACATGCACACAATATAAGGCTGGCCAGTCAGCTGAAATGCAAAAAAATTGTCTGGCTGCTGCTGTCAGCTCCTCTGCTATGACAACATTGTCACACTCTATAGCAGTCCCAAGTTCATGAAGTAGACTCAGAGACCAGTTGTACAGAGTTGAGGAGAGAAGTCAGATTTAGCTGCCATGGAGTTAAGCATATTCTGTCCAGCTTATACCTAGTAAGGCCTGTTTTTCTGGGCTAAATACTTCTTTGAAGCATTGATTTCTTGTCTCCTTTGCTAGCAGCTTCTACTGCTGGATCAGGTTGTTCTTGATTTATGCTGCCTGGCCACCCAAGAAAATCAGCTTAAAATTTTGCTCCTCTGAAGTTCTCCCTTCTCAAGTATCTACCTGTTTAAAAATTTTACTCTAAGAGGTTTGCTAGTCTTGACTAACTTTGTTCAATTTTAAAAGACATTTTAATAGAATTGCTTAAAATTTTAGGGATTTTTATTATATAACTATTATGTGCTTATAACTGCAATATTAGAAAATACAGAAAAGAATAAAATACCATCTGTAATTATACCTCTAAGTATGAGCTTTATTTAAAATGCAAATAAAGGTATATATGATCCTTGGCCAGGCATGGTGGCTCACGTCTGTAATCCCAGCACTTTGGGAGGCCAAAGCAGGCAGATCTCTTGAGCTCAGGAGTTCCAGACCAGCCTGGGCAACATGGCGAAACCCCGTCTCTACCAAAAATACAAAAATTAGCTGGGTGCGGTGGTGCATACCTGTAGTCCCAGGTACTCGGGAGGCTGAGGTGGGAGGATGGCTTGATCCCAGGAGGCGGAGGATGCAGTGAGCTGAGATCTCACCACTGCACTCCAGCCTGGGCAATAGAGCCAGACCTTGTCACACATATATATATATGTGTGTGTGTGTGTGTGTGTGTGTGTGTGTATGATCCTTAGGACTTTTTTACAAGTGGCAAATAACAAAATTATAATTAAGAGTATTAAGTAAAATGTTACATCCATAGAATGTTTTGCTAACATGTAATCATTAAATCCTATTTTCTTTCATGTTAGTAAATGTAGTCAAACATTTCCAAACTACTGTCATGAGAATATCTCAATTCAATATTAAATTCAGTATATTTTATGTATTCTGCAAACAGAGCCTGGCCTGATGATGTTAGCTACAGAGAGAGAGGGGAGGCAGCTGTAGCCCCGTTCATTTGCAGGCCTCAGACGAGTGGGCTGGGTCAGTGGCTCACATGCTAGATGGTGAAATGAAGCAGCTAATGGTCTCTTTTTCTCCTCTGCTCTAGTCAACATTGGCCTGTGCCCGAGCGTCTGCTCTCTGCTTGAATTTTAACAGCATGCTGATCCTGCTTCCTGTGTGCCGCAGTCTGCTGTCCTTCCTGAGGGGCACCTGCTCAGTGAGTCCCAGCCACTCCTAAGTCAACTTTCACATTAAAGAAGGAGACCCCAGACTCCTCAGTAGGACAGCCCAACACCATGCTCCTAGGAATGGAAGGCAGAAGTCTCCTTTGGTAGCTAAGGGGGTGGGTAAGGGTGGGTGAGTATTGGCATGCTATGTGCAAGAAGACATATTTGTTATGGGTTAGTGAATTTAATAAAGCTGGCTGGATACATCTGACCATAATCACTTTACATTTGTAGTTTTGCAGTCGCACACTGAGAAAGCAATTGGATCACAACCTTACCTTCCACAAGCTGGTGGCCTATATGATCTGCCTACATACAGGTAATGCAGGCAATCCATGAATCTGCAGACTCCAGGGCATTCAGAATCTTGCTTCATTCATCCATCCATATGCATATTCAAAAAATATTTATCGAGCACTGGGCACTATTTGTCAGGCACTGTTCTTGGCCTATTTCCATGAGCTTAAGTTCTATTCCTTTGGGAACAGAGTAAGTATAAAAAAGATCTCTGTAATCAAGGGTTTATTGGGCACCTTCTATGCACTCAGCATTCTGCTAAGCACTATAATGTAGGATTCTTCTAGTCTCATGGAGCACACCTGCCGTGATGTTGCTGAGATGCCTCTTAACATTTCTTTTCATCTTTCCATTTAGCTATTCACATCATTGCACACCTGTTTAACTTTGACCGCTATAGCAGAAGCCGACAGGCCACAGATGGCTCACTTGTCTCCATTCTCTCCAGCCTATCTCATGATGAGACAAAGGGGGGTTCTTGGCTAAATCCCATCCAGTTCCGAAACATGGTGAGCTGACTTTCTAGCAAAGCATCTGAGATCAGGTCATGAGCAGGAAGTGCACAGGTGGACATTGTGTCAGGCTGATATTTCTCCTTTCACAGACAGTGGAGTATGTGACATTCACCAGCATTGCTGGTCTCACTGGAGTGATCATGACAATAGCCTTGATTCTCATGGTAACTTCAGCTACTGAGTTCATCCGGAGGAGTTATTTTGAGGTCTTCTGGTATACTCACCACCTTTTTATCTTCTATATCCTTGGCTTAGGGATTCACGGCATTGGGTAAGATCCTCAAACCCTCATTCTCATGGCCCAGCCCCTGACCTTGCATAATTCTTTGTCCCAAACCATCCTTCTTTGTCTATTTCAGTGGAATTGTCCGGGGTCAAACAGAGGAGAGCATAAATGAGGGTCATCCTCACAAGTGTGCAGAGTATTTTGAGATGTGGGATGATCATGATTGCCGCTGTAGGCGCCCTGAGTTTGAAGGGCAGCCCCCTGAGGTAAGAGCCCTATGGGCAAGGACAGACTCTTGTTAGGAGCTGTTACTGTTATTATTCTTATTATTACTCTTATTGTTATTATCATCATTATTATTAGCTCAGTCCTGTGCTGGGTCTTATGAAGGATATCCATGGGGTTCCTACCTTTAAGAAACTTCCAATATCACTGGCAACAGGCAATTACAAGGGGATCTTGAAGAGAAAAAACTAATAGTTCTTGCATGTTGTGAGACCCTCTGCAAAGGTAATAATGATAGCCCACATTATTAATTGTGTTTATCATCTGCCAGCCTTGCTGCATAATATGGATTATTTCATTTATATATAGCAATAACCTATGAGATATGTACTTCTTTTTTGTCTAAATTTTGAAACAAAAGGACAGGAATCCAAGAGATTAAGTAAACTGATAAGCTCTTACAGTAAGTAAGTAGTGGAGCTTGAATACAAGCCCAGGCCTTTTGGATTCCAAAGGTTTGAACTCTTGACCACTATACTGCCCCAAAGCTCAGCTATGATATTCCAGTCAAATTCTCGGGGGAAATAAAGCATTCTTGAAGTGGGCTTTCTTTGGTGTTCTAAGACTATGCTTGGAAATTTTTGTTAGATACTGGGCGATCATGAAATTGTGTTCTAGGGAACTCAAGGTGTGCCCCAGGGTAATTCTTGCAGATATTATGATTTACCTTTGCTTTCTCAAAAAATAGGTTATATTGAGGAGTAAATGGAAGGGGAAGGTTGATTTGTGGTGCCTCAAAGTACTCTGAGAATGATTAAGGTCTTTAAATCAGATTCAGGATTAAGAGCAATAGCTTAGTTCTCATCTGGAACACGAAAAATATATAAAACAAAAAGCCTTATAAAGTTGGCATTTTAATTCAGCAGGAAAAGGATAAATTAATAATTTTTAGTACAAGAAGATCATCACCTGGGAAAAAAGGTATATTTTCATTTCACACCTTGCACTAAAATATGAATCGAGGATACATGAAGCAAAAATTTACATGTAAAAAAACCCATAAAAGTACTTTAAGACCACATGGGAAGTTTTTTCTAATATTGAAATGGGGGAACATGTTTCTAAATAAAATAAACCATCCTGAAGCCATAAAAGAAGAAATATTTTTGCATGGCAAAAGAAATCCCCATCGGGCCAGGCACAGTGGCTCACACCTGTAATCCCAGCAATTTGGGAGGCTGAGGTGGGTGGATTGCTTGAGCTCAGGAGTTTGAGACCAGCTGGGCAACATGGCTAAACCTCATCTCTACAAAAAAATGCAAAAATTAATTGGGCATGGTGGCGTGGAGGGTGAGGTGAAAGGATTACTTGAGCCTGGGAGGTTGAGGCTGCAGTGAGCTGTAATCATGCCACTGCACTCCAGCCTGGGTGACAGTGAGATCCTGTGTCAAAACAAACAAACAAACAAACAAACAAAAATTCCCATTGTAAATAAAGATAGACAAAAAATTACCAAGTAGGAAAAGTATTTACAACTCACAGGCCATGGACTAATTTTCTAATATATCAATAACTCCTAGAAATCAATAAGAAAAAGCCTAATAACATGATAAAAAGAGATAAAGAAGATATGAACAGAATGATCTCAGAAATGGAGATATATCTTTATCTTAAATATATGAAATGATGCTTAATATTATTCATAATTGAAAAAATGCCAAATAAAACCACAAGAATCTGTTAACCTGATAGATTAGCAAAGATAAAAAACCTGCTAATGTATGGTGTTGGCAAGAGTATGGAGAAATGCTCTTATGCATTGCTGGTGAGAGTGTAAACCTATACAACTGCTTGTAGAGAGTGATTTGGCAGTAGCAATTAAGCTTTAAAACTCGACTTCCAATTTATTCCACCAATATACTTAAATATGTGTTAAATTACATGCATTAAGTTATTCATTACAGCATTGTTAAATAGAAAAGAAGATTGGAAACAAGTGTCCCTCGATGGGGAACTAGTTACATTTTAGAACTTTCATGCAGTGGAATAGTCTGCAACCAGTAAAACGAAAGAGAGAGCACCATAGACACTAATAGGGACCAGTCTCTAAGATGTTAAATGTAAAAGGCAGGGCAGTGTATATAGTCTCCTATCATTTGCATTGAAAAGATCATTTAAATGCCTGTTCTCCAGAAGAATTCACAAAATAATAACATTACCTCTGGGGATCTGGAGGGGAAGGAGGATTTGCTTTTTATTGTATATCCTGTTGTACTTTCAGATTTTGTACCATACACATGTATTACCTATTTAGAAACTAATTTTGTAATAAGATAGATGGAGTGCTAGCTACACAAATAAAGAATGGACCACTAGCTACACTAATAAAGAAAAAAGAGAGAAGATCCAAAAACCACAATCAGAAATGACAAAGAGGACATTACGACTGACCCCACAGAAATTTAAAAAAAAAAAAAAAAAAACCCTCAGAGACTACTATGAACATCTCTATGCATATAAACTAAAAAACAACAACAACAACAACAACAACAACCTAGAAGAAATGGTTTAAAAACCTAGAAGAAATGGATAAATTCCTGGACACATAATACAACCTCCCAAGACCAGACCATGAAGAAATTTAATCCCTGAGCAGACCAATATTGAGTTCCAAAACTGAATCAGTAATAAAAAACCTACAACCAAAAAAAGCCCAGGACCAGACAGATTCACAGCCAAATTCTTCCAGATGTATAAATAAGATCTGGTACCATTCCTACTGAAACTATTGCAAAAAAATTGAAGAGGGTCTCCTTCCTAACTCACTCTGTGAGGCCAGCATCATCCCGATACCAAAATGTGGCAGAGATACAATGAAAAAAGAAAACTTCAGGTCAATATCCTTGATGGTCATCGATGAAAAAATCCTCAACAAAATACTGACAAACTGAATCCAGCAGCACATCAAAAAGCTAATCCACCACAATCAAGTAGGCTTTATCCCTGGGATGCAAGTTTGGTTCAACATATGCAAACCAATAAATGTGATTCATCACATAAAGAGAACTAAAGACAAAAACCATATGATCATCTCAGTAGATACACAAAAGGCTTTCAACAAAATTCAACACTCCTTCATATGAAAAACTCTCAGCAAACTAGGCATTGCAGGAACATATTTCAAAATAATAAGAGCCGTTTATGAGAAACCCACAGCCAACATCATACTGAATGGGCAAAAGCTGGAGGCATTCCCATTGAAAGCTGGAACAAGACAAGGATGCACTCTCTTACCACTCCTATTTAACATAGTGCTGGAAGTCCTGGCCAGAGCAATCAGGCAGGAGAAAGAAATAAAAGGCATTCAAATAGGAAGACAAAAAGTCAAACTATCCCTGTTTCCAGACAATATGATTCTATACCTAGAAAACCCCATAGTCTATGTCCAAAAGCTCCTAGATCTGATAAACATCTTCAGCAAAGTTTCAGGATACAAAAGCAATATACAAAAATGAATGGCATTGCTATACCCTGACACCCAAGCTGAGAGTCAAATCAAGAATGCAATCCCATTCACAATAGCCACAAAAAGAATAAAATACCTAGGGATACAGCCAACCAGGGAGGTGAAAGATCTCTCCAATGAGAGTTACAAAACACTGCTCAAAGAAATTAGAGATGACACAAACAAATGGAAAAACATTCCATACTAATGGATAGGAAAAATCAATATCATTAAAATGGCCCTACTGCCCAAATCAATTTACAGATTCAACACTATTCCTACCAAACTACCAATGACATTCTTCACAGAATTAGAAAAAAACTATTTCAAAATTCATATGGAACCAAAAAAGAGCCCAAATAGCCAAGGCAATCCTAAGCAAAAAGAACAAAGCTGGAGGCATCATGTTACCCAACTTCAAACTATACTACAAGGCTACAGTAACGGAAACAGCATGGTACTGGTATAAAAATAGACACACAGACCAATGGAACAGAAATAATGTTGCATACCCATGACCATCTGATCTTTAACAAACTCAACAAAAATAAGCAACGGGGAAAGGACTCCCTGTTCAATAGGTAGTGCTGGGATAACTGGTTAGCCATATGAAGAAGATTGAAACTGGACTCCTTCTTTACACCGTATACAAAAACCAACTCAAAATGGATTAAAGACTTAAATGTAAAACCCCCAACTATAAAAACCCTGGAAGACAACCACCCTGGAAGACAACCTAATACCATTCAGGACATAGGCCCCGGCAAAGATTTCATGATGAAGATACCAAAAGCAAATGCAACAAAAATGAAAATTGACAAATGGGATCTAATTAAACTAAAGAGCTTCTGCACAGCAAAAGCAACTATCAAGAGAGTAAACAAACAACCTAGAGAATGTGAGAAAATATTTGCGAACTACACATCTGACAAAGGTCTAATATCTAGCATCTATAAGGAACCTAAACAAATTAACAACAATAACAACAAAGAATAAATTATCCCATAACAAAGTGGACAAAGTCTCAAAAAAAAAAAAGTGGGCAAAGGACATAAAGAAACACTTTTCAAAGAAGACACACATGCAGCCAACAAGCATATGAAAAAATGCTCCACGTCACCATTCATTAGAGAAATGCAAATCCAAACCACAACGACACACCATTTCACGCTCTTCTTTTATGGCTTCGGGATGGTTTATTTTATTTAGAAACATGTTCCCCCATTTCAGTATTAGAAAAAAACTTCCCATGTGGTCTTAAAGTACTTTTTTGAAGAAATATGTGTATGGTATATATACCATTTTAATCATTTTTAAAGTAAACATTGTGGCCATTACTTTACTCATGTATAATACTTTTTCACACCTTAATTATTTATCTCCATTTCCTGGAAGTGAAGTTCCAGGGTAAAAGAGAAAGAACACTTTTGAGGCTATTGAGATGTGCTGCTCAATTGCTCTCTGGGAAGATGTTGCCAATTTGCATTTTCAGCCATGTGAAATGCATGTTCAATTTGCATGCCCACGTGAACACTCCCATTTCCCTGAATCCCAGTTAATGCTGGGCATTATTACTTAAAGTTGTTTTTCAGTTTGAGAGACTAAAACGGTATCTTGTTTTAATATTTATTACTCTGACTATCTGAGGCCAATATTTTTTTCACATTGTTATTACCCATTTCTTAAATATATTTTTCCTCAAATTCAGCTAGGGAATTTTTTCAAATAAGAAATGGCACTGAATTGCATAATGTTCACTCTGTTTGACTTATCCCATCTCTGCCTCTTCCTTCCCTAGAGATACTCAAGGAAGTTATTTACTTGCACCAGCTTAAGAAACCTCACTTCACGCAGTCCCAATGTATAACACTTGAGCAACTGTGCAAGAAAGGACATAATTTAGTATTGCTAGGAAGTACATTTTTAGTAGTTCCTGTACAGGTAGAAACAAACTGCTGCTTTGCAAAGATCTCAGGGATAGAAAGGCTGCTTTATTTATTTATTTATTTGTTTATTTATTTATTTATTTTATTTTGAGATGGAGTCTCGCTCTCTCGCCCAGGCTGGAATGCAGTGGCGCGACCTGGGCTCACTGCAACCTTCTGGATTCAAGTGATTCTCCTTCCTCAGTCTCCCGAATGGCTGGGACTACAGGCGCCCACCACCACACTCAGCTAATTTTTGTATTTTTAGTAGAGATGGGGTTTCACCGTGTTGGCCAGGCTTGTCTTGAACTCCTGACCTCAAGTGATCCACTCTCCTCAGCTTCCCAAAGTACTGGGATTACAGGTGTGAACCACCACGCCTGGCCAAAAAACTGACTTTAAAAAAAATGTAGACAAGGTAAAAAAAAAAAAAAAAGTTACTACGTTAAATGTTTAAGCACTTGAGAAAGGAGGTGATGGATAAGTACTGAGTTTTATGAGCCAATAGCATCAGCCACATACTTTCCCTTTCTTGTGTTTATTTTGTTTTTAATCATCTGCTTCTATTTCACATCTACTTTCTCTGTTGGTTTTTTAGATTGTACAAGCTGTCCTCGAAGATAGTCTTAGATTCTTAAAATTAAATCTTATTTTATTTTATTTTTTTATTTTTGGAGACAGTGTCTTGCTCTGTTGCCCAGGCTGGAGTGCAGTGGCGTGATCTCAGCTCACTGCAACCTCTGCTGCCTCCTGGGTTCAAGAGATTCTTATGCCTCAGCATCCCATGTAGCTGGAATTACAAGCATGCATCACCACGCCCAGCTAATTTTTTGTATTTTTAGTAGAGACAGGGTTTCGCTATGTTGCTCAGGCTGGGTCTCCAACTCCTGAGATCAGGCAGTCTGCCCGCCTCAGCCTCCTAAAGTGCCAGGATGAGCCACTGTGCCAGGCCTTAAAATTAAATTTTACATGTAATCTAAGAATAAGGATGTTTACCATGTGTCCCATTTCTGTGCTTTTCTCTTGCTTCTTGGTCAGACTTGTAAATTTCCAGGAATTGGTCTGTTTTATGAATAACAGATTAGCAAACGACACCGTTGTCTTTTATTTTTTCTATTTCCGTCTTCCAGATTTGGTGAAATTAGTACCTTAAAAATGATACACATTGGAGAACTCAGTAAAGAATGAAGGATGAACTGCTACACAAATAAGTCCTAAACAAGAAATTAATGTGTAATCTCATTCTTAACCCTGTCTCTGTGCAGTCTTGGAAGTGGATCCTTGCACCGGTCATTCTTTATATCTGTGAAAGGATCCTCCGATTTTATCGCTCCCAGCAGAAAGTTGTGATTACCAAGGTAAAGAATATGCACTTTCCTCTTGCTGTGATGAGTTCTCTTCTATCAGACTATAGAACTAAATTTTTATGTTGTCACCCTGAAGGGAATAAAGAGGGACTTGGAGGCCGGGCACCGTGGGTGGTAATCCCAGCACTTTGGGAGGCCGAGGAGGGCAGATCTGTTGAGGTCAGGAGTTCGAGACCAGCCTGGCCAACATGGCAAAACCCCGTCTCTACTAAAAATTAAAAAAAAAAAAAAAAAAATTAGCTGGGCGTGGTGGTGCCCACTTGTAATTCTGGCTACCTGGGAGGCTGAGGTGGGAGAATCGCTTGAACCCGGGAGGCGGCAGTTGCAGTGAGTCGAGTCGAAGTCACGCCATTGCACTCCAGCCTGGGTGACAGAGAAAGGCTCTGTCTCAAAAAACAAAAACAAAAAAAAACTTGGGTTTGGCATACAGTGCTGGACAGAACTGGGAAAGAGGGGCTTCGCCGAAATCATCAGGATGATTGTTTGGTGCACACAATGTTTGTTTATAAAGTTGAATTGGTTGCTAGCATTTAAAAATCTGGATGGAAGCTTTTGTTTGATTTTTTTTCAAAGCTATTTCTTGCTTCTCTTGAAGAATCAGAAAACCTGATAACATTGTCATGGTTCCATATTGCAACCACTGTCTGGAGCTAAGTAGCTGCTGCCCTCTTTAGAGAGGATTTGTGTTTGTAGTTCGCCACTGTCACCAGCCCTCTAGCTTCACTCATTCGCTTTATCTGCCTGTCCTTGTTGCCATTAGAGTTTGCCTTCTTTGGTCTATGTGCTTCATTCACTAGGTTGTTATGCACCCATCCAAAGTTTTGGAATTGCAGATGAACAAGCGTGGCTTCAGCATGGAAGTGGGGCAGTATATCTTTGTTAATTGCCCCTCAATCTCTCCCCTGGAATGGCATCCTTTTACTTTGACCTCTGCTCCAGAGGAAGATTTCTTCTCCATTCATATCCGAGCAGCAGGGGACTGGACAGAAAATCTCATAAGGGCTTTTGAACAACAGTATTCACCAATTCCCAGGTAGGTCCTTGAGACCAGAAGAGTCCCAGACCAGAATGCAGACTGGCAGAAAAGAGAAAGCAATTCTTCCTTGAACCTTAAGTTTGGTACAATAGAATAGGATTAAAATAAATACGCAGAAGTCAACCATGGGAACAATTATATTTCTGGGAGGATGTTTGAGGTTAGAGGTGGAGGGGAGTCTTCAGTTGCCCGTTATCTTCTGTCTTCTGCCAGGATTGAAGTGGATGGTCCCTTTGGCACAGCCAATGAGGATGTTTTCCAGTATGAAGTGGCTGTGCTGGTTGGAGCAGGAATTGGGGTCACCCCCTTTGCTTCTATCTTGAAATCCATCTGGTACAAATTCCAGTGTGCAGACCACAACCTCAAAACAAAAAAGGTATAATCCCGTATATCACTTTTCATCTGACCTGGGTCTGACAAGTCTATTGCATTCTTGGGTTAAGTTCTTTACAATTGATAAGAGCAAGCTATCCCTGGGGTTATGAGAATAAGTGACCACTTCTCTTGGCCAGGACATCCACTTCAACAGATTTATCATAAGAACAGCGTCTTCTTTTCTATTTGGAGTTTACGATAACCCTGACCAAAGATGTTGGAAGGCTCTTTCCTAAGGAAAATTGTCAGAACTCTGAACATTCCTGCTGCCTAAAGTTTGCAGCTCTGTAAATGTGACGTTTAAGGTCACCTAATAAGGCTATGTTCTCTTTTGCTGATTTCAGATCTATTTCTACTGGATCTGCAGGGAGACAGGTGCCTTTTCCTGGTTCAACGACCTGTTGACTTCCCTGGAACAGGAGATGGAGGAATTAGGCAAAGTGGGTTTTCTAAACTACCGTCTCTTTCTCACTGGATGGGACAGCAACATTGTGAGTCCAAATAACACACTAATTCACCTACTAAACATAAGACGAATGTCAGACAAAGGATAGTGCATATGGATTAGAAGTTATTTCTTATGATTTCCTACCTGCCCTCACACTCACACACAAGTTTAAAAGTGGTGGAAAGAAGGAAGAGGCAGCTATCAGGACTTGGTTTTTCTTTCTTTTCTTTTCTTTTTTTTCTTTCTTTCTTTCTTTTTTTTTTTTTTTTTTTGAGACGGAGTTTTGCTCTTGTCACCCAGGCTGGAGTGCAATGGCACAATGTCAGCTCACCGCAATCTCTGCCTCCTGGGTTTAAGCAATTCTCCTGCCTTAGCTTCCCGAGTAACTGGGATTACAGGCATGCACCACCACGCCCAGCTAATTTTGTATTTTTAGTAGAGATGGGGTTTCACCATGTTGGTCAGGCTAGTCTTGAACTCCTGACCTCAGGTGATCCACCCACCTTGGCCTCCCAAAGTACTGGGATTACAGGCGTGAGCCACAACGCCCAGCCTAGGACTTGGTTTTTCTAACTTTTTATTCCTGTGAATCCAGGTTGGTCATGCAGCATTAAACTTTGACAAGGCCACTGACATCCTGACAGGTCTGAAACAGAAAACCTCCTTTGGGAGACCAATGTGGGACAATGAGTTTTCTACAATAGCTACCTCCCACCCCAAGTAAGTATATTTTCCTCCAGTAAGATGAGTTTGCGGGGGCCATGTGCGGTGACTTACTGCCTGGAATCTCAGCACTTTGAGAAGCCGAGGCAGGTGGATCACCTGAGGTCAGGAGTTCGAGACCAATCTGGCCAACTTGGCAAAACCCCGTCTCTACTAAAAATACAAAAATTAGCTGGGTGAGGTGGCGCATGCCTGTAACCCCAGCTACTTGGGAGACTGAGGCAAGGAGAATCACTTGAACCTGGGAGGCAGAGGTTGCAGTGAGCTGAGACTGCACCATTGCACTTCAGCCTGGGCAACAAGAGAGAAACTCCGTCTCAAAAGAAAAAAAAAAAAAGATGAGTTTGCGGAGTTAGGATTTAGGAAAGGTATTACAGCATGTTGAACACTCTTAAGAAAAGATCTCTGGGGCAGAAACCTTTTGTGCCATTCTTAGATTCTTGGTGAAGATTGAGGAAATTTCATCTGGGGTTTTAGAAAAATAGGGTCATGATCTTGAAATTGATGAAAAGAGGTTTTTTTGCCCTAGCAAACTCCATTCAAACAGTGAGGCAAGTGGAATCAGTTCTGATCTATCCTACCAAACAAACTAGAGAACTGGAGCAATTCAAATGCATTTTTTGGGGGAGGGGACTCAATAATCTCTACTTAAAGTAACAAAGGTGTTATCTAGTTTACTGGCCACCTGAGCTCAATCTTTCTGGAGGGTTTTGAGACATGTTAGAGCACAAAAAACCCTGGTGCTATGAAATCAGCCATGCCAATGGGAAGAAGATGAAGCTGAGATTCCCTGAACAAGTAGGCAGGTGATGATCAATTCAATGCTACAAATATTCTTGATTACCTTTTTTTTTTTTTGAGATGGAGTTTCGCTTTTGTCGCCCAGATTGGAGTGCAGTGGCATGATCTCTGCTCACTGCAATCTCCGCCTCCCAGGTTCAAGCGATTCTCCTGCCTCAGCCTCCTGAGTAGCTGGGATTACAGGTGCCCACCACCATGCCCAGCTAATTTTTTTGTATTTTTAGTTGAGATGGGGTTTCACCATGTTGGTCAGGCTGGTCTCGAACTCCTGACCTCAGGTGATCCACCTGCCTCGGCCTCCAAAAGTGCTGAGATTACAGGCATGATCCACCGAGCCCAGCCTTGGTTACTTTTTATAAGCTCAGCTTTCACCATTCTAGAAGCTTTGGAGGTTGAAAGAGAAATAGGATATGGTTCTTGCCCTCAAGGAGAATACATTTGAATAAGAGATGCACACAATCACCTCAAAGCAGAATAATGCACTCCGTGAAACAGGTGCATGGACGCTAGAGGGAAGAAAAGTCTATGGCCACATGGCATGAGGTGATTAAGAAAGGCTTCAGGAAGGCAGTGGCTAGAGCACTTAGTGACTTGGATTCAGATGATCCTGGGTCCTCATGCTGGTTCTCTTTTTTTTTTTTTTTTTTTTTGAGACACAGCCTTGCTTTGTCACCCAGGCTGGAGTGCAATGGTGCGATCTCGGCTTACTGCAACCTCTGCCTCCTGGGTTCAAGCTGTTCTCCTGCCTTGGCCTCCCAAGTAGCTGGGATTACAGGCGGGCGCCTGCCACCACACCCAGTTAATTTTTTTGTATTTTTAGTAGAGACAGGGTTTCGCCATGTTGGCCAGGCTGGTCTCAAACTCCTGACCTCAGGTGATTCACCCACCTTGGCCTCCCAAAGTGCTGGGATTACAGGAGTGAGCCACCGTGCCCGGCCTTCATTCCGGTTCTGACACTGTCTAGTTATGAGACCTTGAACTTCTGAACCCTCTGATCTTGATTCCTCATCTGTAAGACAAGGGTCATATTAGTGAATGCCTGCTCTACTCACTTGCAGGGTTGTTGTGACAATTAAGTGAGACAATATATGAAAAAAATGCTTTGTAAACTGTAAAGCAGCATATAAGCATAAGAGATGCCAATTATCCTGTTGAATGTAACTGAAGTTTTGAGAGAGTATGAGGTTGTCAGGAGAGAGAGAAAGAGAGAGAGGGAGAGAGAGAGACTAGCGAGGGACAGAGTACCAAGGAATGCTGCCTAGGTTATATGGGAAGGGAAAAAGACAAACCAAGGAAGAAATAGGAGTACACAGAGAAGCGGTGTCACAGAACCCAAGGGAGCAAATATTAGAGAAGCGTGGTCAATAGTGTTGGAAGAGTAGCAGGGTCAGGAAATGTTTATTTAGCTTAAGCATATTTATAGACAGAACAGGGACCATTACATAGAATAAAATAAATACATGAAAGAGGGGAGAGGACTAAGAGGGCCATAATAAAAGATGGACAATAGTGTTAGCAAGGAAGTGGAGAAGTTGCAATCCTACTACATTGCTTGTGGGAATGTGAAATGGTACCACACTTGGGGAAAACTCTTTGACTGTTCCTCAAAGTGTTAAACACAGTTTCCGGCCGGGCACGGTGGCTCACTCCTGTAAT